GGGGCCAAAAAAATTTTTGGCCCTTCAAAGGGGGGTTTACCCGGGTTTGGCCCGGGGGGCGTCCAAATTGGCCCCAAAAGGGTTTTTAGGTTTCCCCGGTCCCCCCCATGCCTGTGTGGGTGGGAGTCCCCCCCCCCTTTTCCGGGAAGGTATCCACACTGGGGGGCGCGGTGGGGGAGCTCCATCTCCTCCACCCCACCCTCCCCTGGGGGGGCCCCCCCCCACCCCGTGCGGGAGGGGGGCGAAAGGCAGGCCAATGCTAATGGTGGTTTTAAGACTTTTTTTTTGGTTTTTAAGGGTAAAAAGGCCCCTTTTTGAAAGGTGGGAGGGGTTCCAACAAGGTACAAGAAAATTTTCCCCTTCTGTGGTTTTTTGGGTTTCGGCCCCCGACGTTGGGTTTTGCCAAAGGGAAAGGGGCTCCCTGCCTCCACCCCCAAATTTTCCTGGTGCGTCTGGGGCCTCTGTCTCCTCCCCTCTACCAGATGCTCCCCCTCTCCCCTCCTTCCGCTGAGTGGAAAAAAAACCCCCCCCCACTCAAAATTCCGGCCCCCCTTTCCCCACCCTCCTCTTCTTCCCCCCCCCACAGGGGTCATGTGGGTTGGAATCTTTTCGCCCCACCCCCCCCTGCGCCTTTTTTTTAACAAATTTTTAAGGCCCCAAAAGGGGCCCCCCCCCCCCCCCCCACCACCGAATAGCGGGTTTCCCCCAAAAAAAGGGGAGTGTACCATGAGTGCCAATGCTGAAAACTAAGTTAAGGGGAATTTTCCCTTTAAAAACAGGAAAACGGGGGCCCCCCCGGGTTGGGCCTAAAAAGTGGGGTTTAATTTTTTTAATCGCAGATCAGCTGCTGTGGGAAACGTTCTGCCGCTGCAGTCAAAGGGGGGGTTTTTTTTGGTGAGGAAGGGAAATTGAAAAGTTTCGTGAATTTGGATTTTGAGGGGGGGGGGATTTTGGGAAACCCCTGAAACCGATTGAAAACTCCTGAGGGACAACCCTTCCCCCCCGGGGTCACCCTGTTCTTTTTTTTTGCCCGGAAACTTGGTTTGATTTTTAGTTTCCGGGGGGGCCCCTGTATTTCTCTTTCAAATCAAACCTTTAGGCCCGGCTACAGTGGCGCCGGGGTACCCGGGGGCCCTGGAAGGGGGGTGGGGAAAAGGGGCGGCACGGGGGGGGGGGGGCACGGGGAAAAGGGGGGGGGGCTTTGGGGGGGCCCAAAACCCCCAAAGGGGGCAAAAAAACCTGACCCCCCAAATTGTTCGGCGTGCCGGCACCCTTTACCCCGGGGCCGAAATGCAACTGCCCCCTTTATTACAGTACCGGGCGGCCCTTTTTGGGAGGAAACCCCCCTCAAAGCCCGGGCCCCCCCTTTTTTTTTAAATTTTTCCTTTGGAAAAGGGGGAAAAAGCCCTTTTCCCCCACCGGGGGGGGCCCGACTTTTCCCCCGGAAAGGTTCCATTGGAAAGGGGGGGTGCAGAAAACATTGGGGAAAAGGGGGAAATTAACCACCCATCCAACACAACAAAACCAAAAAAACAACAAACACACCCCCCCTTTTCCCCCCCCCCAACCCCCCACCCCCTTCCCCCCCCCCCAATCCCCCCCCCCCCCCCCCCCCCAACCCACCCCCCCCCCCCCAACCCCCCCCCCCCCCCCCCCCCCCCCCCCCCTTTCCCCCCCCCCCCCCCCCCCCCCCCCCCCCCCCCCCCCCCCCCCCCCCCCCCCCCCCCCCCCCCCTTTTCCCCCCCCCCCCCCCCCCCAAGAACCCCCCCCCCCCCCTCCCCCCCCCCCCCCCAACCCCCCCCCCCCAACCCCCCCCCCCTTCCTCCGCCCCTTTCCCCCCCCCACTTCCGGCCCCCCCCCCCCTCCCCCCCCCCCCCAAACCAGAAACCCCCCCCCTATCCCCCCCCCCCCCCCCCCATCCCCCCAAAAGTTTTTACCCCCCCCCCCCCCCTTCCCCCCCCCCCCCCACCCCCACCCCCCCCCTGTTCCCCCCCCCCCCCCCCCCCCTTTCCCCCCCCCCCCCCCCCCCCCCCCCCCCCCCCCCCCCCCCCCCCCCCCCCCCCCCCCCTTTCCCCCAAAACCCCCCCCCAGCCCCCCCCCACCCCCCCCCAACCCCCCCCCCCCCCCCCGGCCCTCCACCCCCACCCCCCCCCCCCCCCCCCCCCCCCCAAAAACCCCCCCTAAACCCCTTTTTTCCCCCCCCCAACCCCCTAAAAAAAAAATCCCCCCCCCCCCCCCCCCCCCCCCCCCCCCCCCGGCCCCCCGAAAAACCGTTCCCCCCCCCCCCCCCCCCCCCCCCCCCCCCCCCCCCCCCCCCCCCCCGCCCCCCCCCCCCCGGGCGCTTTCCCCCCTACCCCCCCCCCCCAAAAATTTTTCCCCCCCAAACCTCCCCCCCAACTCCCCTAAAAACCCCCTCTCCCCCCCAAAAATTTTAAACCCCCCCAAAAACCCCCCCCACTTCCCCCTCCCGCCATTTAAAAAGGGGGGGCCCCCCCCCCTTTTTCCCCCCCCAAACCCCCCCCCCCCCCCCCCCCCGCTTCCCCCCCCCCCCCCACCCCACCCCCACCCACCCCCCACCCCCCCCCCACCCCCCCCCCCCCCCCCCCCCCCAACAAACACATTCCCCCAAAACATTTCATTTGTTTAACCATTCCCACCCCCATATTCACTACCGTAAGGTACTGTGATGTTTTATGTTCTTGTCAGGACCTCAATCTCCGTTTCGCTACAAACAGTTAGACCTGTCTACAGAATCTTTCTTCTATTCAAACCTCACCACCATGGGCAAAGAGCTGTCAAAGGACATCAGGCACAAGGCTGGAATAGACTACAAGATTATAAGCAAGAAGCTTGGTGGGAAGGAGAAAACTGTTGGAGCGATTATCCACAAATGGAAGAAATACAAAATATCGATCAATCACCCTTGGTCTGGAGCATGCACGATTTTGCCTTATGGGGTAAGGATGATCATGAGAAAAGTGAGGGATCAGAACTACAAGGGGGGGAACTCGTGAATGATCTCAAGGCAGTTGGGACCACAGTCACCAAACAAACCATTGGTAAGAAAATATTCCACTATGGATTGAAATCCTGCAGCGCCTGCAAGGTCCCCCTCATCAAGAAGGCACATGTACAGGCCCTTCTGAAGTTTGCCAATGAACATCTAAATAATTCAGAGAAAAATTGGGATAAAGTGTTGCAGTTAGATTAGACCAAAATTGAGCTCTTTGGCATTAATTTGACTCTCCGTGTTTGGAGGAAGAAAAATGCTGACTATGACCCTAGGAACACCATCCTTACAGTCAAGCATGGAGGTGGAAACGTTATGCTTTGGGTCTGTTTCTCAGCTAAAGATACAGGCTGACTTTCCCACATTGAGGGGCCAATGGACAGGGCCATGTATTGTAAAATCTTGGATGAGAAATTTGTTCCCTCAGCCAGAACACTGAAGATGAGTCGTGGATGGGTCTTCCAGCATGACAATGACGCAAAACATACAACCAAGGCAACAAAGGAGTGATTCTAGAAGAAGCACATTAAGGTCATGGAGTGGCCTAGCTAGTCTCCAGACCTTAATCTTATAGAAAAGTTATGGAGGGAGCTGAAACTTCGAGTTGCCAAGCGACAACCAAGAACCCTTGAGGATTTAGAGAAGATCTGTAAAGAAGAGTGGACCAAAATCCCTCCTGAGATGTGTGCAAACCTGGTAACCAACTATAAGAAATGTCTTACCTCTATGCTTGCCAACAAGGGTTTCTCCACCAAGTATGAAGTCATGTTTTTCTCGGGGATTAAATACTTATTTTACTCACTGAACTGCAACTCAATTTACAACATTTGTTTCATGTGTTGTTGATATTCTGTCTCTATCATTTAAAATACACCTATGATAAAAATAGACCCTTCATTTCTTTAAGTTGGCAAAATGACAAAATCTGAGAAAACACAATTCCAAAGTGCCCTGTCACAGCTATACGAGTTTCTGTATATTAAATCAAGCCACACTCAGCTTTTTTTTTTCAGGTGATGGTGGATAACCATATCCCTCTTAAGTGGTAATAGAGAATGTGCGGAGGAATCTTCTGTAGATCAAGTTCCAATGCATTTCGCCCAAAGGGCTTCTTCAGGGACAAGTAGGTAGAATTTGATCCTGTGACAGAATCAGACACAGATAAGACATCTATTGATATACCAGGACACATGTAAGGACTATATGCGTGCACACCCAAGGGACACAGTGCATCCACATCAGGGGGCCCCTTTGAACCCAACCATCTAAAACCCAATTAGTGAAGAGATCTGCCAAAATAAAATAACTTGTTGGTCCCGTGATGACAATATAAGTTGGCTCATAGTTCGGCTCCAATTCAAACTACCAGGAAAGCACATATAAATCCGCTCAGAAGGTCGGGGCAAAAAGACATATCCAAAAGCAGTCTATATAACTCATCATAAGAGGATCTCTATGACCTCCAAAATGCATATAAATTTTTGGAACATACCTCAGGGACAGGTGTTTGAGTTACATGCCATTATTGTGAAATTGCTGGGAGAGAAATGTTAAGGACATAACGTGGGTGACAGTGTGGGTGGCCTGGGCCCTGAGGGATGGGTATTCGAGTTTGATGTAGGTGGCCCTTTTCAGGCCTTTCTTAAACAAGTTGTCCTCTGTCCAAAATGTACACCTATCTGTTGAAAGAATGTCCCATTTCCTTAAGGTTTAGGAAGGCTGCTGAATCCTAAGTCATGGAGTTCCTATGTGGCTATTAATGCTGAATAAATTCCTGGCCTTTATTAGAACTGAGGAGGCTATTTGAATGAGTGGCTAAATTTTCTCAATGTTGCCAAACAAATCAGTGTAAATAAACTGTATACCACTAGATTTACCATGACCTGAATAAATGAGAACCTTAACAGACATATTTTTGCTGTTTTGCAGGGCAGAACTTTTCTGGAAAATCTCCAGAAGATACTCGGATCATGATCTTCTCATCATTCAGGGACAGTGTCCAAGAAATTGCGGAAATGCTTAACCACCATCAACCCACTGTCAGAGTCATGACATTTGTGGGACATTCCTCTACTGGAAAAGGAGTAAAAGGCTACACCCAGAAAGAGCAGCTTGAGGTGGGACAGCACTGCAGAACATTTCCATTGGGGCAGTTGGCCTTTGTTTGTACTGTTGGTATATTGGTATGGACGCACTGGACACCTCTGCTGCCATTGTGCTATATGCTGGGTGTCCAGTGCGCTCCTGTGCCTTTGAGGGCTGGGCTCCCTCCAGACATACCTGCCCTCAGTCTATCCATTATTATACATGTGCTTCTACTATGGAGGCTCTCAAAATTTCTAGAGTTAGGAACTGCAGAAAATACTGGAGTGCCGTGAAGAGGCTCTGCAGCTCACAAATGTATTTGCAAATGCGTGCAAACTAAATCCATGTTTTTAGCATGAACTGTTAGACAGGACAATTTGGTTGGTTTCAGGCTGGTTGGTAAGTTGAGCTGGGAATTTTTCTCTGTTTTGATACACCCAGAAAGAGCAGCTTGAGGCGGGACAAAACTGCAGAACATTTCCATTCCTACTCTACCTGGTGTTCAAGCTACAATAAGCAAATATTTTCTAAAAACAAGAGCTATGTATATTTAAAGTGTTACTAAAGGCAGATTTTTTTTTTTTTTTTACTTAAAATAACAGACATGTTATAGTCACCTGCTCTGACCAGTGGTATTGCACAGAGCTGCCCCAATCCTCCTCTTCTCTAGTTTCCCACCTGCCATCCTGGCTCCTCCTCTTCTTTGTGTGTCCCCATAGCAAACCATTTGCTAGGGGACACACGCTGCGTGCTCGCCCCCCTCCACTTCCTCGTCACCGCATTTGATTGACAGCAGTAAGAGCCATTGGCTCCTGCTGCTGTTTGCATTTCTTCTCCTCTCTTCTTCCCACAGGAATCAGAGTGCTGATCTCTTCTCCCCTCTCTTCCACTTCACACGGGGAAGGTGGAGCACAGGAAAACTAAAAACATGTTTTACTTTAATACAAGCAATGCATTAAGGTAAAGAAACATTTTTAGGTTTAGTATCACTTTAAATATTGGTGTGCTTTGTGGATTTCATCCAGATCCATGCAGTAATGCATTGTGAAACTTTCCTCTGTACAGGAGCTTCCTTTATTAAAGACCAGTTACTGCTTCTATTCCCCAGAGTTTTCTGCAGGCAGACTGCAGTGATTGGAGCTGCTGGGCTTCCTCCCACATCTTTGCTGCCTGCGCAGGCTGTGTGCAGCTCAGAGATGTCACACCCAGTTTGTCAAGGTACTAGGAGTATGAAAAGGAATTTGGTGCAAAATGGATTTGTTCTTTGTGGTTATGAATGAGTATGTTTGTTTTGAGTTTTTATGCCTGGGGGTTTATCTTTAATTGTTGTCATGAGATACTGCACAAAAATGCTTCCTGGACACAATACGGTTCTACAAAAAGCATAGGGGGAAATAAGTCCTGTTTAAAGTAGATCTATAGGCAAAGCTTTTTTTTTTTTTTCTTCATTTTCGGTAGAGCAGGGGAGGGTTGTAACCCCTGTCAGTTAAATTTTTGCCATCTGTGTTCCATTGGGGAGATTTACCTTCACTTCCTGTCTCATATTCAGGAAGTAAGAAAATCTCTGCAAGTTATTCTTTAGGGACCCCCAGGCCACGAGAACTAGTGTCCCCATTGAAAAATTTCCCCTCTATTGCTTTTCTGGGGACAAGCCAAAATTTGTGGTTTCTTTTACTGTCACTTTCAATGATGATGGTAAATAGGATGAGTTTCCCTAATGGAGGCACTGACAGCAATAAAAAGTGGCAGAGGTCTAAAACAAAACAAAAAAAAATGCCTTTAGTTATACTTTAAGCCAATGTCAAGTAAAGTACAGAAGACTTCTGTAATTTTAAAGCTCAACTCCAAGAATTAGACAAAATCTATGCTTGCAGTCCCCACCAGCATTGCAAGTGGTAAATGCTTCTAAGCCAATGGGGGGAGATGAAAGGGCTGTAATGCTTGCCTTAGGCTATGTTCACACTATCTTTGTCAGCAGGCGTCAGGCATTTGGGAAGCGTTTTTAACGTTTCTCAAACACCTGTAAAAATTCTGCACATGGCAGCACACAGTGCTGTTCACAATGAAGCATTAGCGTCGCAGCAAAGCTGACGCCTCATGTCCAGTCAGGAGAAGTTGAAGCCTCCCATTCAAGTCTATGGTACCGCTTCTCAAATGCCTTGCAGGAGTTTGTGAGGCATTTGCGGAGCGTTAATACTATTTAACTTCATTATAGGCGTTTGTGGTTGTGGTATTAACACTTGGCAAACACTTCAAAACCACGCATAGGGCATTTGAGGAGCATTAAAAATGCTTCCCTAACGCCTGCCAAACGCTATAGGGGCGTTTGGCAAGAGTTGGAAATAAAGTGAATGAACCCTTACCCCTGCTTCGGCCAGCTCCAGCGTTGTCTCCTTTTTCCTCCGGTGCTCTGGACTGTGGACGGTCCCTCAGTGTTATCATATAAAATGCAGGGCTATTAAAGCTGAATTTTGTTTTTTTTTGCACAGTCACATTGGTCTATCTTGCACTAATGTAAGTAGGCATATTCCATAATTGGCCAATCCTTGTGGCTGCTACTACGATGATCCTCGCTGTTCTACAAATCCTGTGCCTAGCAATTGCACTGAATATGGTAGTAGTGCAAATTTATGTCACACAATAATAACAAAAGGGTTTGTCAAAGGCAATGTTTCCATAGCAAATTCACTAAAATTCATTTTAGGGCACATAAATGCAATATATTTTCCAATTTTGGTAAGAGGAGGTTGTACTTTGTAAATAGATACCCCAAAGAATTTAAAATTGCATACATCTGATTTGCCTCAATCCTCTAACGTCCACGTTTTGCTGCACAGCCTGGTCTGTTAAAAAAAGAAAAAAAAACCAGCAGGATCAACTGGTAAGAGTTGCTGGAAGGACTGCTTTGTTAATGGCCTGGTCTGTTAAAGGAAGTAAAAAAAAAAACAAAACAAAACAGCAGTATCAACTGGTAAAGGAGTTGCAATTGATTTGTTAATGCTAGTGACAAACTGCAAGTGTGTCATCGATTTTTTTTTTTTTTTTTTTTTTTTTTGCCTTTTAGTGCCACTTCTATATAGATGTTAGGTCGTAGTCAGATGTGCAAGATGTTTGTCCAAAGTGACCTGGGCTCAGAGGAAATATGTTAAATTATGCTGACCATTGGACTGAGAACATCTAGTGACAGAAAAAAGTAGTGCTGGGGAAATTTCTGGATGTAACTAGAATATTTGCAGCAAAAACTTTTTGTTTTAGGTTGATCTTTCAATGGTCTAATTTTATCTTGTTTTTGGCTGGCGTTCTGCATTAAATGTTGGCAAGGGAGACAAGGTGCTGTGATCTTTGTGCTCAATTATTAGAGGATGCAAGGATGTTGCAGGTTGGGCTGCTATTGCTGATCTCCTTCTGAAAATGCTAGGTGCATTGTTAGCATGTTGATGCCCTAGCTTAAAATACTTTTGAACGATTGGCCCAAACCTACTTATTTATAGGTTTGTTCAGGTGCAGTGGTTCAGCAGGTATTCATTCATCCTTGTTAGACAGCGAAGTCCAACCTTTTAACCAGACAAAGCCAGCTACACAGCAGACTGCCACAGTTTTGCTCTCGTAATCTTCAAATTTTTTAAGCAAAGGGCCAGTTTACTGTCCTTAAGACTTTAGAGGGATCAGACTGTGGGCAGTGGGAGGAAACCTTGCCCTATCTTTAGTACTTTGGGGGAGAAAAGTGCCCATCATTGGTGTCAGTGGGAGGAATAGTGTCCCATCATTGGTGTCAGTGGGAGGAATAGTGTCCCATCATTGGTGTCAGTGGGAGGAATAGTGCCCCATGATCAGTATTAATGGTAGGAATAGTGCCCCATCATTGGTATTAATGGTAGGAATAGTGCCCCATCATTGGTATTAATGGTAGGAATAGTGCCCCATCGTTGGTTTGAGTGGGAGAAATCGTGCCCCATCATTAGTATCAGTGGAAGGAACAGTGCCCCATCATTGGTGTCAGTGGGAGGAATAGTGCCCCATCATTGGTGTCAGTGGGAGGAATAGTGCCCCCATCGTTGGTGGTGGTGGGGTAGTCTTAAATGTATTAACTGATTTGAATACAACAAATTGAAGCCAAACTCCAGCTCACGCTAATCAGTTACTGCAACAGTTTTCTTCCTTTTGGGATAAAGGTTTTACATGAATAAATAAAAGCTGATCATTTTAATCAACCCTGCCAGTGTTACATGGTCTGTAGAAGTAGCAGAATGTATTTTAGGGTGTAATTCCACATATGCCCATGGCTTGTACAAGAAATATATCATTTAAATGATATTTTAATATCATTTAAATATTTTAAATTTTACATTTGTAATTTTCCATAAACTTGTGGAAAAAAAATAAATCTTCCATGGACTCAATATGCCTCTCAGCAGATAGCTTAGGGTGTCTACTTTCCGAAAAGGGGTCATTTGGGGGTGTTTGTACTATCCTGGTATTTTAGCACCTCAAGAAATGTGATGGGCAGTCAGAAAGGAAAAGCTGTGTAAATTCCATTACATATAGCATAGTTTGTAGATGCTATAACTTTCACACAAAGCAATAAATTTACACTTATTGGGATTTTTTTTTTTAACTAAAAACATGTAGCAGAATACATTTTGGCCTAAATTTATGACACAACTTTATTTTTTGGATATTTTTTAAGACAGAAATGAGATTATATTGTTTTTTAAAAAAAAAATTTTTCTCAAATTTTTTTTTGTTTATAGCACCAAAAATAAAAAGCACACAGGTGATCAAATACCACCAAAAGAAAGCTCTATTTGTGTGAAAAAAAGAACATAAATTTCATTTATGTATCGTATTGCATGACTGCGCAATTGTCAGTTAAACTAGAGCAGCGCTGTATAGCAAAAAAATGGCGTAAATTGCGGTATCTATACCATAGTTTGTAGACGCTATAACTTTCACACAATGCAATCAATATACACTTATCGGGATTTTTTTTTTTACCAAAAACATGTAGCAGAATACATTTTGGTCTAAATTTATAACTAACTTTAAGTTTACTATATATTTTTTTTTATAGCTGAAAGTAAAAAATATTATTTTTCTTCAAAATTTTCGGTCTTTTTTTTTTGTTTATAGCACGAAAAATAAAGAGTGCACAGGTGATCAAATACTAACAAAAAGCTCTATTTGTGTGAAAAAAAGGACGGAAGTTTCGTTTGGGTACAGCATTGCATGACCGCGCAATTATCAGTTGAATTAGTGCAGCGCAGAGTAGTAAAAAGAGGCCTGGTCAGTAAGGGGGTAAATCCTCAGGAGGGCAAGTGGTTAACCCTTTGAGGACCAAGGGACGTATTTGTCCCATGTTTTTAATTGCCTGTATCATCTGATCTATTTGGTATCTTCTTACCTGAGTCCATTTAAGCCCAGCCAAAATTCCTAAGCCCTGATAGAGGGGGATTCTTTTCGGTTCTGAAACATGTTGACTTGTTACGTTTTGAATAAAAATGAGTTCATAACAGTAAGGTTTGTTTGGTGCTCTCACTGGACTGTATGGGCATAGTTCCTAAAGGTCAATATGTTATAACATATTAGCTGTGGGATCTTTCTTTGTTGTCCATTTTATCAGCAGTCACATGACCTCTTTCTGTTCTCATTGCTAACGGTCAGTTTATATGAAGCATTTGTCACAGCCAGTGAGTGTAGTTTGTTTTTTTCAGGTGGTGAAGCGGTTCCGGGAAGGTGGATATAATACTCTGGTATCCACCTGCGTCGGAGAAGAAGGTCTGGACATTGGAGAAGTAGATCTCATTATTTGTTTTGATGCTCAGAAGAGTCCAATCCGCCTGGTGCAGAGAATGGGAAGAACAGGAAGGAAACGTCAAGGCCGCATAGTAGTCATATTGTGCAAAGGCCGTGAAGAGCGGGTAGGTCCTCCTGTTGCTGTGTTTCTTAAAGATGAATTCCAAGACAACTAAATACAGATGAAACGTATATGTGGGAGCTGTTTTTCCTGCTAAAAGATTTGCTTTTCTTTCAACCAGCCTTAAATTTTCACTGTTCAGCTACACAACCTGACTGATTTTTTTTTTTTTAGTTTTTTTTTTTTTTTTTTTTTTTTTTGAGAAGCCTGCGGAGCATTACACCCTCAGTCAACAGATCCCTGGTGCAGTCTCAGTCTCTTGCAGACTCTCGGCATAGCTGTCTTTGTGTGGCCAGGTAGTTACCTGAAAGTGGGCAAAATAATAGGCTACGAGAGCACTCATCAGCACTACAAGCGCAATGGCTGACTGTACTTGTAGACATTATTTCGGCTGCGTTATTTTCAAATTATGACAACAGGCACAGGGGGAAGATCCCTCACCTGCTGTCACAGGGACAAAGGGGTGAGGCTGCAAATGCTGGAACTTGTTACACCCTTTAACCATTAGCCGCCCGGCCAATGGCCGTTTGGCGGCTTCAGATGTGTCTCTCCATTCCGGGTGCACGCCATTTGGCGTGCTCCCGCACATGCGCCGTTTGCGCTAATGCAGAGCGGCGCAGCAGTGCGATCTGTCACCGGCCGTGCACCTCGGACAAGGTAAATGCTTGCTTATAGCAAAGTAATTCTTTGCTATAAGCAAATTGTGTAAAAAAAAAAAAAAAAAAAAAAAAAAAAAAAAAATACTGATCACTTCCCCATAGTACAATGTTACTATGGTAACATTGTACTACTTTGGTCATAGTAAAATATGAAAAAAAAAATCTTAAATAAAAAAAGTAATAAAAAATTAAATATAATAAAAAAAAAAAAATATATATATATTTTTTTTCATACTGTCACCAGTCAGTGACCCTGTTCACCGCCATGCCAGTTATATGATGACGCTGTACTGCACTGGTGACAGTATGTAAAAAAAAAAATAGTGAAAATAATTTTTTTAATTTTTTCATTTTCCGAAAAATTATGACAAAAAAATACAACTTCAAAAAACTCGCCATGCCTCTTATAAAGTATGTCGGACTGTCTACTCTGCAAAAAGGGGTCATTTGGGGGATATCTGTGCTGTTCTGACATTCTTGGACCTCAAGAAATTAGATTTGCTGTCAGTACTTCAGGATTGATCAATTTTCAGATCTATACCATAGTTTGTGAATTCTATAACTTTCCTACAAACTAAAAAATACATCCTAATTTGGGTTATTTTCACCAAAGACATGTAGCAGAATACATCTCGGCCTAAATTTATGAAGAACAATTATTTATTTGTAAACTTTTATAACAGAAATAAAAAAAAAGTGGGGTTTTTTTTCAAATTTTTTGGTCTTTTTTTGTTAATTTAGCAAAAAATAAAAACCCCAGCGGTGATTAAATACCACCAAAAGAAAGCTCTAGTTGTGTGAAGAAAATGATAAAATTTTAGTTTGGGTACAGTGTTGTATGACCCGCGCAATTGTCATTCAAAGTGAGAGAGCTGAGACCTGAAAAATGGCCTGGGCAGGAAGGTGTAAAATTGCACGGTATTGAAACGGTTAAGTAACGCTTACAGGTAGTGATGCACAAATATATTGGCCGCCGAAAATAGCATTTTTGGCATTTTGCCAATCGAAAAAAAAAAATACAGATAATGATAATTTATTTAAAGTGGAGCTCCACCCAATAGGGGAAGTATCTTCTTTAAGCCTTTGTCCCCTGCTCCCCAATAAGGATTGGCACCTTTGGGGAGCGGGTACCCGAATTTGACAGGTACCTGCTCCCACTTCTGCTGCGATCGCCTAGGTGATCGGGAGCGGAAGTTGTCCTCACCCCCCCGTAGACTTCTGAGACACGTGACAGGTCTCAGAAGACTATGAGACTATTCACAAAGCGCAGCACTTCTCCCGAATGCTCAGTGGGCACCTGGCTGTGAAGCCGCAAGCTGTCACAGCCACATTCCCACACTGAAGATGTCGGCGCCAGGGAGAGAAGACGACCGGGTGAAACCAGCTGTACTGAGGACAGGTAAGTGTCTGTATTTTTTTTTTTTTCAGCTGGAACTCCGCTTTAAATTAAAAATCTCATCTCATTGACTTTAGCGCAAAATCGCATCCCATTGACTTCAGTGCTGAAAACGCCCCTCATTACCTGCAGTGCAAAAACCGCCCCCCCCCCCCCCCCCCCCCATTGACTTCAATGCAAAAAATGCACCCCGTTGACTTCATGGCCAAATTGCATCCCACTGCAATGCAAAATGCCCCCCATATTGACTTCAATACAAAAATGCCACTATTTATTATTTTTTTCTATATATTTCATTTTACTTTTTGTTCAATTTTTGTGTTATTTTCAAATAAAGTTACTGGATTGTTTGTTTTTTTCAGTTCATATTAATTTAAATTCATGATATGAATTGAAAAGTCAGATATAATACAAATGTATAATATATATATGTCTATCTATATGTGTATATGTGTTTTGTGTGTGTGTATAGAATTTTCATATCAGTGCACCACTACTTACAGGAGTTGTTCAGCCTCTACCCTGTACTAGGCAGTGAAAGGAGACACAGGCTGATTTAATCTTTTACCTAAAATAGTTGTAATGGCTGAAGGTTTTTTTAACCTCATGCATGCTATGAGTGAAGGTAAAAAACCTTCAGTGTTCAGCTCCCCTTCAGCCCCTCCTTAAACTCCCCCAAGCTTGTCGCAATCCAGCACTGTACCCAAGAGCACCTGCTATCCTGGGCCTCTGCCTCCTCATTGGCTGAGACACAGCAGCATGAGCCATTGTCTCCCACTGTCCCACTGCTGTCGATCACAGCCAGTGAGGAGGGTGTGGGGTGCAGCGCCGAGTTGCGCTCTGTCTCAGGGAGCGAGCAAGCGCAAGCGGCTTTCTCTGGGGGTGCTCAGCAGGAGGGAGGAGCCAGGAGCGCCGGTGCAGGATCCGAGAAGAGGAGGGTCGGGGCTGCTCTGTGCAAAACCACTGCACAGAGCAGGTAAGTATGACATGTTTGTTATTTTAAAAAAAAATGTTAAAATGATACTAAACGGTAGACATCTTTGTCACGCCATTTTTATCCTATCCAGCAAACACCTTGCACTGCAACACAAATTAATCCACTGAATGGCTCCTCGTGCTGCTTCTCCCACTTCAGTATGAGCTCTGCTGTACAGTGAACTGTGGTTCCAATTTTTTTCTACTTTAAAAACCTTGTTCCGTCTAGGCTTTAAAAATTTGTTTGCTACATTGTCTTTGCAGAAGCACCCACACTAACATGTTAAGCATGCATGACGTACGTCTTGTCTAATAACACAGCACAAGGGACCCAACTGAGCACTTTATCATTTCAGCCACATCTGCTGCGGGTTTTCTGTAACCTTCAATGTATGTGGCAACTCAATTCCCATAGTAATGTAAATGAATTGGACACTTGTTGCGTTTTCATTGTTGATTGATTTCCTGTCACCAAACAGTCGCTTCCTAGAAAACGGATCTTCATACAGTCAGTGGTTAAATCCAGGTGCTGTGAGCCGGTGAAAGGGAAACGGACCCCTCACTGGTTTAAACAAGTCAGGCTTTTTATATGGACAGTGGCTCAAGGCAAGAAATGCATTCTACCATTTATAAAAGGAATTGCTTATATAACAATTGGCCTCTCCATGACTCCAGAATGTTTTTATGTAACCTTTACAAAACACTGCTTTTTATTTCATGTTAAGACTAACATTCCAGCTACTAGCACAGTATGTAGGAAGATAGTGTGCTGCATTTCATACATGGGGATGTCAGGAAGATCTCTAGGCAAACAAAGCAAAACAGAAAGCTGTGTCCTTTAGGCACTAGCTGAAATGTTAAAGCTGTACCCCAGGTAAATGGCCAAGTACACACATATAGAAGGTGTTTTATCTGTCAAATTTGTATTGCTGGTGTTTCCAGATTTATACAACCCTGATAGACCGTAGAACCAGGTTGCTGGCCTGAATTATCTTGGCTACTGTTAAGCTGTACAGCTTAATCAACCTCTTGCCTCCAACCTGTGATTGGTCAAACGGGGAGCAGCAGCAGACTGACACAGTCATTTCCCTACTTTCTTCTCACGGACACATTTGTCAGCAAATGAACAATGCAGCACACCTGACTGGCTGCTCGTGCTCTTGCTGGCTCTGACAAATTTAAAACTGTCAAGATGTAATGCCAGAGACTGGATTGTTCAGGATCCACAGCCTGAGTGCCACAGGTATTTTACTCTTCAATTTTAATTTGGTATTTCCTTTTCACATGACAGGTAATTCCTAGCACTTACATGGTGTACATTGTAATCTATCTAGCAGGACATTACATAAAATGGGCTAAGATGTGGTAATGTACAGTTGCAAGAAAAAGTATGTAAACCCCTTGGGATTGCACTGAGTTTTGCATGAATTGGGCATGAAATGTGCTCTGAACGTCATCTAAGTCACAACAATAGAAGAACACAGTCTGCTGAACATAATACTACACAAACATTAGATGTTGCCATGGTTTAATTGCACATAACATGTAAACATTCACAGTGCAGGGAGGAAAAAGTATGTGAACCTTTGGACTTAATAACTGGTTGACCCTCCTTTGGCAGCAATAACCTCAACCAAACGTTTCCTGTAGTTGCAGATCAGACCTGCACAACGATCTGGAGTCATTTTGGACCACTCCTCTTCACAAAACTGTTTCAGTGTAGCAATGCTCTTGGGATGTCTGGTGTGAATCGCTCTCTTAAGGTAATGCCACAGCATTTCAATCGGGTTGAGGTCAGGACTCTGACTGGGCCACCCAGAAGGCGTATTCTGTGCTGTTGCAGCCATTGTTTTGTTGAATTATTTGTATGCTCTTTTCTGTGAGGCATGGTTCACAGCAGACAGTGCTTCTTGAAACCAGTAAACCCAAAACAGGTGTGTGTTATTTAAGGGCAGGACAGCTGTCAGCAACACATCCAATATCATCACACTGATTGGAGTCAAGGTTGGCTCACTCCTGGCTCCAATTAGCTCTGGGAGAAGTCATTAAGCTAGGGCCTCACATACTTTTTCCTCCCTGCACTGTGAATGTTTACATGTTATGTGCAATTAAACCATGGCAACATCTAATGTTTGTGTAGTATTATGTTCAGCAGACTGTGTTCTTCTATTGTTGTGACTTAGATGACGTTCAGAGCACATTTTATGCCCAATTCATGCAAAATTCCACGTAATCCCTAGGGGTTCACATACTTTTTCTTGCAACTGTATAGGTGTGATAATTGTGATACTGTATGTATCCAGGTCGTTTTTTGTCTGAGCAATAAAAAAGAAAAATTGACACTGATATCTAGTGTTAAGAGGTTGAGGGCAATGGTTTCCGGAATCATCATATGGTTTGATGGAGGCTGCTGGTTTTATCATATTAAGGGCCTGTATCAAAGGGCATTGGGCTTGTCTCAATGGCATTTGTTAGAGATACTTCTAAGTTTATTCAGAATTAAGTGACCAGTGCATTTAACCTACATGTGCCCTCCTTCCATTGGGTTTTGCATTTCCATAGATTTGTTTGGAAATGGCAGAATCCCCTCAATACTAACTGAAGCCCATCAAGAATGAAACAAAGGAAAAAGGCACGTCTGCTTCAGGCAATACCTGAAAAACTTTTTATTGCATAAAATAAATAAAACCAATGCCAGTGTACTTCACAAAGGTATGGTACATAGTGCATGCATCCGACACCGGTTCCGTTAGAGGAACCGTGTCCATCCGCAGGGGCATGGCTGAAGCGTTTCAAGGGCTAAGCCCTCTTGAAAGCTCTGAAGAAGAGGGCTTAGCCCTTGAAACATGTCAGCTGTGCCCTTGAGGGTGAACACGTTTCCTATGATGGGACTAGTCTCTGATACATGCAACTTACCTTGGTGAGTACATTGGCATTGGTTTTACTATTTATTCAATAAAGAGTTTTTATGGTATTGCTCAGTGCCACTGCACCTTCTTCCTTTGCGTTGTTTCAGTATTGCTTTCCCGAACAGAAATGGGCAGCAAGGCCAAGCTAGCGCGCAGTGTGGAGAAGTTCAGTAACACGTGCTTTGTAAGGATTAGAGCAAAGAGTAGCTTGTTTGCAGTTTGCGTGTAGATTTGCACCCAGAGGGCCATCCCCTATCAGTAGCTCTGACAAGAGTGTTTGGTTTGTATTATAATACTCATCAGTCCCTAAATCTAACCTGCTTTTCTTTTCTACATAGACCTACAACCAAAGTCAGAGCAATAAGAGAAGCATCTACAAGGCCATCCTGGGAAATGACACCCATTTTTCACCTCAACCAGGAAAGTCCTCGCATGGTTCCGGAGGGGTTAAACCCAGCCGTGCATAAAATGTACATCACACAAGGAACCTATGATGTCAAAGACTCTGCAAGGCCCAGCTCCAAAGACCGCCGTTCCAGCCTGGTCCATCGTAAATCTTCCGTGTTTACCAGGGAAGACACAAATGAAGACCGGCTTTTGACGCACACAGAGTTTGAGACTTGGAACCGTTTGTACCGTTTGACAGAATCAGATAGGGTAACAGATGTCATTCTACCCAGAACACAGTTTGAGCTCTTCAGAGATCCAGAAACAAGCATGGTGGGTATGATCAGCCACTTTACCAACTAACTGGTAGTGAAAGGGTTTTCCATCCTAAATTATTTGAGCTTCATGCAAAAGTTGGTGGAAAGAGCAACCATCAATATCCTCATTGGTGTATCTCTCAGGAGCCTAATACTGAGATATATTTATAATCAGAGACCTAATCTCCTGAGGTCTTTGAGGGAGTTTCATTCTGCCTGTTTTTCATTTAATTCACATGGAGAAAATGACAGGTTGACTAGGATTCCATATCAACACATAAAAGTTTCAGAACATATGATGGCAGCATCCTTGCCAAAGTAGGTCTCTCATTCAGTGACTCGCTAATTCGATGGACACAGACAACCAAATGCTATGCCTCTAGCTATTGAGACATTGTTCTGGACAAATGCCATGAAGGGGGAAGTGCATGAGCTCCCCCAAATCCATTGGATGTTTTATGTTCATAAATAACTAAAAATCAGTTTTGGCTCTCCATTGGTCTGATGCTTTTTTCCACCAGGGTCTAGAAATAGAGATGGCAGCTCTGATTTATCTTTCAGATTTATCGACAAGATAACTTTTTCTTGTCAATATTTTAAGTCAATATTTATCTTACCTCAGTTTTATTGGTATTCACATTCCCAAAAAGATCATTTTCACAAATCACTACAGATTTAGATGATAAAGGGAATGGTACCTGGCTGAACCCATAGAACCACTAAAATTCAGCAACTCTTTGATTATTTTTGTTTTGGTAGATTGAACAGATTTGCTGTCATTTATAAGTAGATGTAGTATTGAGTACTTATGCGAGTGTGTATAATATATTAAAGTCATTTGTGAGATACTAATATTGTCCCTATGATTGCATATCCTAGGAACAAGTCTCAGGAAGTGTCCATGAGCTGTCCCTATCAGAGTGGAAACTGTGGCAGAATCGACCTTTTCCAACTGACTTTGTGGATCACTCTGTTCGGAGTAATAATTTCATTGCTGTTATGCAGCTGATTGAGCGGATGAGAGAGGAGGAGGTAAGAGAAGCCCAGTTCAAAGCACCAACATCATTCTTTGCTGTGAAGGCAGTATGATCCAAGTGGGCTCCACAGAAATCGACTTTGTATTCTACCATTTTATTAAAGTCGATTGTGTATTTTATTAAAGTCGTTTTCCGTGGAGCCAGTTTGGATCCTTGGCTTATGCTGTACATTGAGTGTTGACTTCTGGGAAAACTGAGGTTAAACCTTACCCCTTCGTAACCATAAGCCTCATCCCAAAGTTATTACTTAACCATTTGCCACCCAGTGTATATATATAAACATCCTAACGGCAAGTGGTTAATACCAGGATTATGGCTGCAGCCATGACCTTTTCAATCTTTTTTTTTTTTTTCCATCAAGTGATCGGCTGTTGGGTAGAAGTGATCCGGTGGCTTTGTAGTGCTGGGAAGAAACTGTGGTAGTTCCCAACCCTCCCATTCCTCCGAGGAGCCTGGAATCCTGTGGCAAGTGGTCAGGGTAGCTTCTTGCAGAGGAGATGGAGGAACATCCATTCCCCCATCTCCTCTGTGATGGCTGTAACACAAAATGTATTTGATCAGCTGTTTTGAAATTCAGGGGCGACATCAAGAGTCTAATAGACCCGTGCTATCTGAATACCATGTACCTGTCACCTGCTTAAAGCTATTACAAGGGGGCTTGTTCACTTTGTGATAGCAATGAAGTTAAATGAAAAAAGTAAAGTGTAAAAAATAAATAAAAATGAATAAAAGCATCCTCGTCCCCCAGTGCTCACACGCAAATGCAAACATGTGCATAGGTCCAGCACACATGTAAACAGTGATTTTGCTACATGTGAGATCGCCACAAATGTCTGGTTGCAATAATTCTAGGGCCATAATTCATGATTAACTCTAAACTGATAACTTGTAAAGGCTTTTAAAGCCACTTTTAGGTGCCGAAGCTTGTCGCCATTTCAGACATGCGCAGTTTTAAATCTTTAAATGTTTGGTATCTATTTACTTGACACAACATCATTGTTTATATTTTGACCAAAAATGGATATTGTGTTTCTGTGCACTAAAATTTAAGTGTATTTTTTCCTAAAAATTTGCATTTGATAAACGGCAGCACAAATATGTGACAAAAAAAAAATTGCAAGAGCCACCATTTTGTTTTCCAGGATCTCTGCTTTCATAAAATTCATAATGTATGGGGGTTCTAAGTCATTTTCTAGCAAAAAGTGCTGCGTTTCGTGTGTAGGAAAATTTTCAAAATTGCTTTGGACAGCTAGCGGTTAATGTCAGTGGACAGTAGAGGCATGGGCATTTGACATTTGATTGACAGGGCAAAGCTATATGGAAAGGACCGGGTTTAATCTCTGCTTTGAAAAAATTTGAAGCCCCATGTACAGTGAATGCCAGTCAGTGATCTCCAAACTGCAGCCCGGGGGCGGATGCCACCCTGTGCTTGCCTTTATCTGTTTCCTGGAGCACGTTCCTCCTACTGACATCAACACTGGGGCGTAATTCTTGGCATTGACACCAACAATGGGGCACTATTCCTCCCACTGACACCAATGATGGGACACTATTCCTTTACTGACACCAATAATGGGTCACGATTCATCCCACTGACACTGATGATTGGCCACTATTCCTCCCACTGACACCAATGATGTGGCACTATTCTTTCTACTAATACCAATGATTGGGCGCTATTCTTTCTACTAATACCAATGATGGGGCGCTATTCCTTCTACTGATAACAATGATGGGGCGCTATTCCTTCTACTGATACCAATGATAGGGCACTATTCCTTCTACTGATAACAATGATGGGGCACTATTCCTTCTACTGATAACAATGATGGGGCACTATTCCTTCTACTGATACCAATGATTGGGCACTATTCCTTCTACTGATACCAGTGGTGGGGTACTATTCCTCCCACTGACATCAATGATGGGGCATTATTCCTCCCACAAAAGATATGGCATTGTTTGATCCCACTTACACCAGGACATTTTCTATTCCCACTGACCACAGTCTAGCCCCCCTAAAGTCTGAAGAACCATAAACTGGCCCCTTGTTTTTAAAGTTTGGAGACCCCTGGTCTAGGCCTAGGATTCCAGAGGGTCGCCACAGGAACACAGGGATTGATTTGAAGGCTAACATGTCTCTCTTAAGCACTACAAGGTGCCCATTTATCAACCCTGTTACCTTGGGCACTTTTTAAACCAGGTCAGGTTCACATTAAAGTAAATTTGTCTTCAGTGTGTCTTTCACTTATTCCATCAGCTGCCCACTAAAAAGAATCAAGTTGTTGTATATGTACCTGTTTAGCAGTCAGTGAGGGAATTCTTTGTTCTTTGGTGTAGCTCTAGGTTCTGCTGCCATCTGACAATTTTGTGTGTGATAGCTAGTCCACCTCTCCCTCTGGGCAATGTGGATTCTCCTGCTGACCCCTATTACATAACTATAAAATACGATAGTGACACAGGTGCTGACGAGAGGATCTGCAGTGGCAAGCAGATGGTGTGCAATGTGCCACTCCTCAAAAATGAGATGGATGCTTTATATGTTTAATATTTGGTGTTAAAAGGAATTAACACGTGTAAAACAGGTTTGCTTAAGTGCAATCCCACCAGCTGTGAATACTTTCCTTCCCCTCAGTCCTCTGCCACTCCATTTGCCTGCTAGGAGAGAAGAGGAAAACCCTGTGTAAACTCCAAGTTTACAACTTAGGTTTTCCAGCTCCATATATCAATGGGGCAGCGAGTCTTCAAGCACCAGTGATGTCATATGGGAGGAAAGGAAAGGTTTAATGTGTGCTACTGGTGGGACCACCAATAAAATGAACCAGGTCCTTGTCCTACATGGTTAGATGCGACATACCCTATGATGTGCAGTGTGCGTGTGTATATGTGGCTTTTTAGTTATTCATTTTTTTATGCTGTTTAATTTTTTTTGTATGATTTAATGCAAAGCAAAGTGCAAAATTGCTAGTTTTGGGGAAGGCTTTGTCAGCATCCATCTGGTCTTATTTGTTCAATTTTCTGTGCTCAAGGCGAATGAAGGAAGAAATTGATAACAAATTGCTGTTTTTGTGTTTGACAGTAAAAAGCCCCGTTGTCTGTCCTTTGTTAGGGCAGCACTTAAGTTGTACAAATGTTTTAACAGCACAGAAGAAAAAACATTTCTCTTTGTTAGGTTTGGTATTGTTCATGAAGTAAATTTATTTTTTGTATATAGGTTGACATCAGAAGCTCTAATTAACTCATTTGTTCTGTGAAATGGCTTTTTCTTGTCTGTTGCTTCAGCAGTAGACAAAACAAAAAGGCGAGGTCTAGCAAAAAACTGAAGCATGCTTCAAATTTTTGCTAGTGTCCTAAAAGGACGGATGTCTCTTCTGCAGTTCAGCTGTGTTAATGACTAACCAATTTTTTGTTATATTTTTCTTTGATTTTTTTTTCTTCAATTGAGATTTCTCTACAAGGCTGCGGGAGCTTTGTCCTTTTGATTGCTGCTGCTCGGCCTGGTCATCCTCAGCCTCTCCTTTGGAGTGCCACGTCCAGAAACTGCTGGACTGTATGCTGCAGAGGGAGAGCTTGCAAAAGACCTTTGGGCACTGGGTTTCACGCAGAGTTCTTTCCATGCTTTGTTCTGGTAAGTTATCTGCAGAACACTTTCACGGTACAGAGCCGCTAGCATTGCCTCAGTGCTTGACCTGTCTCTGAAGACTCACTTAGCGAGTTGGCCAGTGGGGCAGGGCATCCGGAGCTACTTCATTTACTTTATTCCCAATTCCAGTTCTCTGCTATTTTTGGCACGGAATGGGTTAGTGTTGTGGGAATGAGTGCTGACGTCAACTGCTGTATGGATTGTCGTTCTCTTCTTTCGCTCATACAGCTTTCAGGAGGCAAATCTATGTCGCTCCTGTTTGAAAAGAGCTTCATGGAACTCCAATCTCAAGTCTATTCCTGCTGCTCACCTACAGAGACTTTGGTCACCTCCAGCCATCCAACCCTTACTTGCTGTTGGCAGGCTGGGTTTCCAAAGTACCTGAGGGCTTGTCTATTACCCTGAGCTTATATGTTGCCTTACCGCCATGTGGTCACAACATGTTTATTTCTAGGCACTTTGGGACAGCCTGCACCATATCCCTCCAGCAACCTTTCTATGAAATGTCTTGGGTCTTCTTGAAGTGTACATACTTGCAGTGTCAATATCTGCATATTGAAATCCTATGCTCTTAAAATCTGTTCTTTCCTTGGAGTTCTCCTTGGTTCTGTGAGGTGTGGCTGGCCCTCTCCTCTGGATTCTCTCTGTAAAGACTCTGCCATTCCTCAGGGGCAAACTCATCAGTGAAGGACAGTCTACTGCTATTACAACCAAGTTGTAAAAAATTGCTTCAAATCTTAATACAGTGCTCACCACTCTAATGCTAGAGAAGCTGCCTGTTGCTTCTGCCAGTATGGTTTTAAGTCTTGGGTCCTTTAAAACGCATAAGGTTGCAAAGATCTAGTCTTTGCATTGGCTTTTTCCAGTTATTTCTCTGTGGGGAGTGAAAACATCTTGTGGTTTGCTCCTCCTAAGTGGCAATAACCTTGTATCCATTTGATGAGAGTTTATTGCAAAAGTGGCATATTCCCACTTTGAATCCAGCAGGCTCCTATAATATAGTAGTAATAAACACAAAAAATGTGATATTGCAACTTATTTTTCTTTTTTAGACCTTTCTCCCTTGGTTTTCACCTGGTGATCTGCCAGTAAAACAGTGCATTGTATTAGAGTGTTCCCACTCTGGATAAAGGAGCACAGGGAAAATATGTGGACAGAAGCATTGTTAGTCTGTGGGGAGAGGAGAGTGTTATATGCACTAGCAGGTTTAAATACATTAACAAAATTGAAGCCCAACTCCTAATACTCTAGAAGCAGTTTCGGCAAACTGTTTTTTATCCTTTTTAGGGATTAAAGTTTTACATAAATTTAAAGATGATTATTGTAAGCACCCCTTGCAATTGTAACATACT